GAAAGAAACAGCAGGGAGTTCTTTGGAGTAGGGTAGACAGAACAAGCCTAAAGAGGCAAAGCTAGAAAGTTGGGCTGGGAGGAAGGCAGCAAATCACACTGCCACATGTGTACCTATGCAACAATCTTGCATGTTCTTCACATGTACCCCAAAACCTAAAATGCAATAAAAAAAATCTGGAGCCAACAGATGCTAGAGAGGGTGTGGAGAAATAGAAACACTCTTACACAGTTAGTGGGAGTATAAATTAGTTCAACCATTGTGGAAGACAGTGTGGTGATTCCTCAACGATCTAGAAATAGAAATTCCATTTGACCCAGCAATCCCATTACTGGGTATATGCCCAAAGAACTACAAATCGTTCTACTATAAAGACACATGCACATGTATGTTCATTGCAGCCTGTTTACAATAGCAAAGGCCTGGAACTAACCCAAATGCCCATCAATGATAGAGTGGACAAAAAGAATGTGGCACATATACACCATGGAATACGATGCAGCCATAAAAAACGACGAGTCTGTGTTCTTTGTAGGGACTTAGATGAATCTGGAAACTATTATTCTCAGCAAACTGACACAAGAACAGAAAACCAAACACCACATGTTCTCACTCATAGGTGGGTGTTGAACAATGAGAACACGTGGACTCAGGGAGAGGAGCATCACACACTGGGGGTAGTTGGCTGGGGGCTAGGGGAGGGACAGAGAGGGGTGGGAAGGGTGGGGAGGGATAACATGGGGAGAAATGCTGCATATAATATGCACCTATGCAACAACCCTGCATGACCTGCACATGTACCCCAGAACCTAAAGTAAAATAAAATTAAAAAAAAAAAAAGAAAGTTGGGCTGGGCCCAAATCAGGAAGCCTAGCATAGTATGCCAAGGAGATAGATTGTTGGCCAGAACTCTCCAGAAAGTATGACTAAAAATTGATCCCTTCAGTTTTCAAGGTGGCCAGGAGAATTACTGTTTAATCATAGAGCAGGTGTGTTTTATACTATAACAAACTGTCAGTTTTCAAACATGAGTGTATCATTTTCACCCTAACCAGCACCGTACAAAAGTTGTCAATCTTTTAAATATAAGCCATTTTAAAGGGTGTGTAGTTGTATCTCATTGTGGTTCCAATGATTACAAGTATTATTAAGTATCTTTTCATATACCTAAAACATATCTTACAGAGTGGTTGTCCAAGGTTTCTGCCCAATATTTATTAGCTGCTTTTTTTTTTTTTTTTGGATGGAGTCTCACTCTGTCACCCAGGCTGGAGTGCAGTGGTGGTGCTCACTGCAACCTCCACCTCCTGGGTCAAGCAATTCTCTGCTTCAGCCTCCCGAGTAGTTTGGATTACAGGCACCCACCACCACACCTGGTTAAGTTTTGTATTTTTAGTAGAGACAAGGTTTCGCCACCTTTGCTAGGCTTGAACTCCCGACCTTGTGATCCACCCACCTCCGCCTCCCAAAGTGCTGGGATTATAGGCATCAGCCACCGTGCCTAGCCTAGCTTCTTTTTTATTAACACTGAGTTGAGGTATTCTTTATATAGCCTGGATACAATTCCTTTGTCAAATATATGTACTATGATAATTTTCTCCTAGTCTTTTGCTTTCCTAATGTTCTCTTGTAACAAGCATTAGATCTTAAATCTAATTAAATCTGATTAATCTGTATTTTTCCTTTATGGATTGTTGTGTCTCTTGTCTACCTCAAAACTGCAGATAGTCCATTGTTTTTTCTTCAAGAAGCAAAATAGTTTGGCTTTTATGTCTAGTCTATGATCTATCATGAATTAATATTTGTGTACAATGTGAGGTAGGGATCAATTCATTTTCCCCATATGGATATTAAGTTATTCCAGAACCATTTGCTAAAGACTTTCCATTCCTGATTATGTTGTTTTGACATCACTATTAAAAACCAACTGCCTGTATAGTATCTATTTTTGGACTTTTGTTATTTTCCATTGATTTATTTATCCAGTACCCTAATGGCAGTATCACATTGTCTTGATAACTATAGTTCTAAAGTAATTTTTAAAGTCAGACAATATTAGCCCTTTAATTTTCATCTCCTTTTTCATGGCTGCTTTCAGCTACTCCAGGTCTTTTACATTTCCAAGTACATTTTCAAATCAGCATGTTGATTTCTGCCCAAAAAGTCTGATGTGGTTTTAACTGGATATTTATTTTATTAAATCTATAAATCAGTGGTTCCCAAAATGTGAGCTATGAACCACCACCATCAGCATCATCCAAGAACACGTTATAAATGCAAATATTTAGGTCCTACCCCAGAACTAGTGGATCAAAAACTCTAAGCTTGGGGTCTAGCAATCTGAGTTTTAACAAGTCTTTCAGGTGATGTGGATGCAAAATAAAGCATAAGTACTAATGTGGATCAGTTTGAGAACAATGAATACGTTAGCAATATTGTACATTCCAATCCATGAACAGATACTTCTCCTTATTTATTTGGGTCTTATACACATATTTTGCTTACTTAATTCCATAGTATTCTATGTTTTCTGATACTACTATAAATGGCATTCTAATGGCTGTTGTTTAACCTTTAGTTGTAATGTATAGGAGATATGGAAGGAAGTCTATTTGGGGTTGGGTATTCACTTAAAGATCTGAAAGAACATATCTAGTTTCTGGATCCAGTTTTCAGTTTGTAAGGAAGATAATGGACAGAGAAACATGATGAAATGCACCAGGAACATAAGATCAGCAAAACCTAGACTGTGGCAAACTCTACAGGCCAACTGGGCTGGGTTTTTTTTTAACACATAAATCTTTAAGGAAATAAAAGGGATGGAAGAGGATAGACTGAAGATTTAAAACAAATATGAAGTTTTTACAAAATGGACAAGTCTAAACTATAATGTACATTTAGGTGAAAAAACTATTTAAAATGAGAGGAAATTATTACTATAAAAGTTGAGTTAAGGTTTGCTTTTGTCAGGAGAGAGGGGCTTGTGATTGGGATGGGATATATGGTTCTGAAATAGATGGCAAAGTTCTATTTCTTGAAATCCGTGGAATTTGCCTTATAATTTCACAGCTTAGCAACGAAATAAGCTTTACTTTACATTTAAAAATATGTCTTACTTTACATTAAGAGAATCTTTTTCCTCTTAATATGATGTATCTAGAATTTGGACTTGGAGAGTATAAAAGTTACAGTGGTAAGGGTTGTGTTTGATAAAAACTAAAATGTGCCTAACGAAGTGGTTGTTCACTTGAGTTAGAGGTACTAGTGTAGATAAAGTCAAAGAATTGGGCAGCTAAGACTTAGGAAGGGATTGAAAAGAGAAGACCTTATGCCAGGTTCTAATCTCGGCCATCAGTATGGTGGCTTGCATGCTGGCACACATAAAAATGATGATCAGGTACAGAGAAATATACATGGATAGCATGTTACATGGATAACAAAGGTCCTCCACTCTCTTGGGCCCACAAACAAAGACTATTTGGGGAAGCAAGAAGCAGTTGGACTCACTTTCTTTCTGTGGGACGTGGGAAAGCAAGCACAACTTCCTTCAAGGAAAAAAGGAACTCACTATCTCTCAGGCACAGGCAGATTTCAGTTGAGGTTATGTGGTAGAGAAAGTTTCCAGGAAAATATTAATGGTGAATGGTAATTTGCTAACAAAGAGACAGAAATTCCTGAAACACAATGGAAAGGGTCAAGAGGAAGGAAAAGTGTGTAAGTGTGTGTGTGTGTGTGTGTGTGTGTGTGTGTGTGTGTTAGGGAGGGTACAAAGCAGCATAAAGAACAAAGTGATTAATAGTACACTAAAAGAGAGGCAACAAAAGAGGGCTCATTTTGGATAATCAAAAGTAACAAGAGTGAGCTGAGGGATAGAAGGACTTGGTGTGTTCCAACTAGAGCTTGTTTGAGGTGCTGAAATAACCTAAAATTCACAGAGGTGGTGCCTGAGGCCCAGCTCTTGCAATTGCCTCCACTAATCACTTTGCATATTCATGTTTCTATGAAGAAGGCTTTCAAAGTTCTAAGGATGGTGGAAGCACCTTAACAGTAGCACTTACTATGACCAAGAGAAGGAGAATAAGAAGGCTCTTCAATCCATCCTTCACTATAAACTACTGGGCATACTTCTGAATCCTGGATCACATTGCCCTTTTTCCCCCCAAAAAACAGCTTTTATTCCAAATTTTATCAATGTTGGAAAGAAGGGTCTGAGAAAAGTAGGACAAGGCAGAAGCAATATATAAAGTAAGCAATGGGTCAAGAGATATACTCAGTCAGACCCTGGCTGAATGAACATTGATGGGTTTGGTATATGACTAATGTATGGAGCAAGTAAAGATAAACATGCCAGGTAAGGTATCATCATGATTCTGCTCTAGAGCACCCACCTCCCAACAAATGGGGATTGAGTACTGGAGCCCATTTATGTTGTCATCAGAGTTTGTAGTAGTGAGGGAATAGGCAACAGAAAAGAGGAGGGAAGTCCTAAATAGTAAAATGAAGGGAATGCCTCTAGACAAAAAGTAAACAAGAGAGTATACTAATGCATTTAGAGACTCTCCTTTTATGAAATAACTTCTTATAAAATAATTTTAGAGCTCTTTATGTATTTTTAAAATTAAAATTATAATTTTAATAAAATAATCTATATTAAAATCATGTTGTAAAACACATATACCATAGCATTTCTATGCTTTTTATGGTTTATCACGAACTATAAACTTTTAAGTTTTAAATGAAAATTCAACTCAACTACTAATTACTGAGTGTTATAAAATACTTGCTAATTCTATATTTTAAAGTTTCTTTGGATACTTGAAGGATTTAAATATATAAAATTAAGGGAAACATAAGAGCATGATTTGGATACGACAAAGAGATTCGTGTTTCTCAAACTTTTCTACAAAAGCCTCAGTACTGGCAGAGAGAACTCCCAAGACCCAGGGGAAACAACCTGGTACAAACTGTTCCAAATCCAGACTTTCTAAAAATGTTTTTATTTTTGTTTTAAAATTTTATTGTTTAATTTTAAATTTTATGTAAATTTTGTTGTATTCCATAATATGAGCACTTATTTTATCATATATTATATTAGTGATATGTTTATATATTACTTTATTATAAAAATGTTTTAAGTTATTTTCTATGGAATAAAATCAACGCTTTGGGAGAACACATCATACATTTTCTGAAGGTTCATATATCCTTGGGAATACACACTCCTAAGAGATATTTTTCTTGTGTAGTCTTACCTCCATAGTAGGTGGAGTCTTTCTTGTTCTTCTAATCCAAGCTAGAAAGAAAAATAATATTTAAATGTCAGTTTTCCATAATTTGCACAAACATTTTAACCATTCATGGATAAAACAAAATTTTTGACTACCTACTCTATATTATTTTAGGTACTGGAGATACAGCAGGGAATAAAACAGATTAAGTCCCTCCTCTACTGTAGCATATGTACTTCTGAAGGGGTTACAGAAAATAAACACACAAACACATGTTTGGTGGTGAAAAGAATATAATAGTATAGAGAAGATAAAGAGGGGACGGCTTCATATCTTTAAAATCATACCTCCTAATTATCTAAATTTGCCTGGGTATATTTATGGCCTACAAGCCAAACCAAAATGCAGTAAACTTCAAGGCAATATCAAAATCATATTATTCTCAAAATCTGTATTAGTTATTGCTCAATTTATAAAGGAGGGGACTTAGAAAAAGTTTTCATTTACAGAGATTTCTTTTCTGATTTGCTCCAGCAAGCAGCTACTCAATGGTTGGTAAGTGTCATCAGGCCTTAGCTCTAACACTTGGGAGATGGGCTGCAGAGAGAGAACCCACATTTGTTAGTGGCTGTTTGGAACTGGGTACTGTGCTAGATGCTTTATAGCAATGGGAAGGGAGTGGGGCAACTGCCTCTAGGGAAGTTATCAGAATCACATGGAAGACAGTATAGTATAGTGCTTATGAGAATGATTCCAAAGTCAGATTTTCAACTTCATCACATATTGGCTGTGTCACCTGGAGCAAGTTATTTAATTTTCTGAGCATCAGGTTTCCCATCTATAAAATGAAATTATAGAAGTATCTACACTTTGGGGTTGTTGTGAAAATTATATGAGATAATATACATAAATGCTTACCTTGGAGCCTGGCACATAAGTCTCTTATTACTATTATTCAATAAACCTTTTAAAAACAAGACTCAAAAAACAAAAGAACAATAATACCTGCTTAGCCTACAATGTTGTATAGGAAACTGTGAGCAAACATACTGTGAGGAATATGATCTTGAAGGCCACTGTTTTATCATTTTAGATGATTCACTCTTCACTACAAAATTGAAGAAACAGAAATAAAGTGACTTCCCAAGTTTACACATTAAGTAGTAATGTTTGTATTTGAATTTGGATCTGACCCTGTATCTGGTTCTAAAAACTATCTGTGCTCAACTAAGCAGTCTTTCAAAGTTTATGAACAACATGCAAAGAACATTAAACCAGTAAGAGGAAGCTGGGTTAGGTGTGACTGTAACTACATGTGAGAAAAATAAGAATTATTGATCCCATTTTAAAGATTTGGAAACTGAGGCTCAGAGAGATTAAGAAACTTTCTTAATGCCATATAAGTAGTGACTGGGAATTAAATCCTGGTTGAACTGGCTCTAAAATCTTAGCTCTATCCATTCAACAGCCACCCTCTCTTGTGACCAGCTCTGACGGCCGGCCTCCTTTATCTAGGCAAAGACTATTACTGACTTATAATAGCTTGACTTGGGATTTTCGACTTTATCATGGTGGGAAACCATTCTGTTTTTCATTGCATTACTTATTTAATGAATTATATGTTATTAAAAACTTTATTATAAAATAGGCTTTGTGTTAGATAATTTTGCCCAACTGTAGGCTAATGTAAGTGTTCTGAACACATTTAAAGTAGGTTAGGCTAAGCTATGATGTTCAGTAGTCTAGGTGTATTAAACTTATTTTCTACATAACGCTATTTTCAATATATGATAGGCTTATGGGGACATAGCCTCATTGTAAACTGAAGATCATCTGTAATGGCACCAGGACCTGTCTTCATAAAAAGCCCAACACTGAATGGTCTATGGGGGTGGAAACAGTAACATTCAACTGTGGACTTGGGATCAGTCATTTCCCCCTGCTCTGTTCTCTCTTGCACTTAACCCTTACATCTATCTCCAATACAGTTTCAGTGTTCTCCATTCTCTACTCCTGTTTCTGAACTTTTACCCTTTTCCCTCCCTTCCTCCCTCCTCTTTTTTCTTCTTCTTTCTTCCTCTTCCTCCTCCCCCTCCTCCTCCTCCTCCTCTTCTTCCTTCTCCTCCTCCTTCTACTTCTTCTTCTCTCTCTCTCTCTGTTCCTGTCTCTCTCTCTCTGTTCCTCTCTCTCTCTCTCTCTCTCTCTCTCACTCTGTTTCCCAGGCTGTAGTGCAGTGGTATAATCTCAGGTCACCACAACTTCAAGTGATTCTCCTGCCTCAGCCTCCTGAGTAGCTGAGGTTACAGTTCCTCCCCATCACACCCAGATGGTTGTTAGGCCATAAGGTTGTCAAGGGCAGGAGGTACCCATGGGAAATTTATTTTTCTGTTATTTTAAGTACCTACTCTTTTGAGGTATTTACTCTTTTAAATGCTTCAACAGAGTAGGTACTTTAAAAATTATTGAATGAATATTTCTTTTGAAAAATACTTGTTCTATCAAGATTTTGATCTGTATTAGAAAATCCAGCTTAGCAATACCACAATTCCTCTGTGTATTCAAGGAAATAAGTGACATTGGGAATTTTTCAATTACCTCTTTATGGTCAAAATTAAAGTTACTTAGATTCAGGCCAAGATGGCCGATTAGAAGCAGCTAGGGTACATGACTCTCATGGAGAGGAACTAAAGGGGTGAGTAAATACAGCACCTTCTACTGAAGCATCCAGGTACTCGCATTGGGACTAATCAAGGAAAGAATCTGACCTCTGGAGAATGAAGAAAAGCAAGACAGAAAAACAGCCTAGCCCGGAGTGACATGGAGCCAGGGGAACCTCCCCACCAAGGGAAGCGGTGAGTGAATGTGTGCCCCTGGAAAACCATGCTTCTCCCGCAGATCTTTGCAACCCCCCAGTCAGGAGATATCCTCCTAAACCCACTCCACCAGGGCCTTCAGTCTGACACACAGAGCTCTGTGGATTCCTGGCAGAGCAGCTGCTCAGGCATGAGTGGAGGTGCAGGAGCTTTACGTACTTAGGCTCTGGGCTTCCCAGCAAGAGTGACTGCAGGGAAGTCAAGGTGGGAGGTTGGACCTCTGTACATACCACTGGGAAGAGGGCTGAATTGAGGGGCCTGAGCAGTGATGGTCCACAGGCCCCACTTTCAAAGTACCTGACAGGATAAGACCCACTGGCTTGGAATTCCAGCCAACCACTGGCAACAGTATTGCCCCTACCTAAGACAGAGTTCCTAGGGGGAGGGGAAGGGCCGCCATCTTTGCTGTTTGGATAATTCAGCAGTTCCAGCCTGTGAGCTCTGGAGAGTCCAAACCAACTAGGGACAAAAGGGATCCCCCAGTGCAACACAGTTGTTCTACCAAAATGTGGCCAGGCTGCTTCTTTAAGTGGGCTCCCAATCTGTTCCTCCCCACTGGGCAGGACCTCCCAACTGGGGCCTCTAACCACCCCTGCCCATGTTCTCAGGCTGACAGACATTTGAGAACTTCCTGAGACAGAGCTCCTAGAGGGAGAGGTAGGCAGCCATCTTTTCTGTTTGGGTGACAAAATCATTCCAGTCTCCAGGCTTTGGAGAGTCCAAGTTGACCAGGGGTGGAAGGGGAATCCCAGCATAGCACAACTGCTCTGTGAAAGCATAGCCAGAGTGCTTCTTTAAGCAGGTCTCTGATCCTGTTCCTCCTGAGTGAGACCTCTTAACTGGGGTCTCTAGCCCCCTCCTACAAGTATATTCAGGCCAGCAACAGGTATGTACCTCCCTGAGAAGGAGCTCCCAGAGGAAGGCGCCGTCTGCCATCTTTGCTGTTTCGCAGCCTTCATTGGTGATGCCTCCAAGGTACTGGAAAATTCAAGGTAACTAGGGACTGGAGTGGACCCCCAGAAAACTGCAGCAGCCCTATGGAAAACTGGCCAGACTATTAAAAGAAACAAACAAACTAAAA